GACAAAAAAGGATGTATCTAAAACTAAAATACGTCTAGATACATTCCCTTTTATTCATTTTGATGACAAGTATTTTCGGACGGAGGGAGTACAACTTAAACTAGCGTCTGCATATGGGAAAATACCAAGGAGAACCTGGTACCAACGCACGCTATATGCAAAAAAAATAGTAATTCAAAAGAAGTTCAAAAATTTTGAATCTTTTTTGGTATCAAACATGACTAAATATTGTAGTCGTATAAAAAGATTCGTTAGAGAATGACCTGGGTTGAAGATTCGGTAAAAAAACGCTATATACAAGTACTATACACGATATATTATCGTCATAAACTTCACTTTTTTGCCATGAAATCAATAGGAATCATTTCTTGTCCAAACTTTTTATACAAGTACAATACCTAATCATGTTTGATTCTAAAGAAGATTTGAAACTTTTTGAACTTTTTTAAATTACTATTTTTTTTGGCGCATATAGGGTGCGCGGGTACCCGAGAGCAACAGTTCCCGTCCCATGCATATGACACTAGTTTATGTTAGTACATTCATAGTGCAAAGTAATATAAAAATAGTATCATAGATGATTGCATTTGTTAGATTGTAGATTCATTTGCTTTTGATTGCGTTATGTTACGATAACATATTATGTTATTCTAAACACCTTTCTTCTTATTAACTACATGCCATAAACTATTTTTCAGAAAAAAAAAACTACATGCCATAAACTTGTCTTAAAATGCGTTGTGTTACTAGTAGTTAAGTTACTCTACATCGATTTTTTTATTCTGTTATATATTGAAATGATTCGTTTACGGGTGATTAGACTTTGTAATTATTAATTATGTGATCTAACATTGATGAATCGAATCTTTCAGAGGTAGGTGCTACTCCTCCACTTGCATGTTTATTAAGTTGAGGTAATTTTGTCAGTTTGCAACCTTTTTATCTGGGTCCAACCGCCCGAAGACCAAACCCGTGGGCTGCTATCTCCGGCTGGCGGCTACAATGGCTCTATAGATAGCAAATTAAATGATGCTGCACGCGCCCGCTGCCCGCCAAATGGGGCGATGGTGGAGCCGGCCCACGAAGATGTCGGCATGGGTTTCACGAAAAAAGGGTTTTCTGCGCTTTGTATTATAAAGCAACCAATCAATACAGTCGAGGATAGGTGCTGAGATCAAAGCAGCACAATCACACAAAAAAACGAAAGAGAAACATCAAGAGAAAAGAATGCCGACAACGGCGGATCGACGGAAATGAAGAAGCTTCACGACCACTGCACCCATCGAAGATCTCCCACCAAGCTCCAAGGCTCCGAAGCACCGGTATCCATCAACACCTTCAAGAAGGACAGCGACGATGACGACGCTGCTGTCAAGGGTTTCCCCTGGTACACGACGAGGCGAGAGGAAGGGTCGCCCCCGACGCCCTCCAGGAAGGTCCGGCGGCACCGACCGGCGTCGCCGCGTCGGTGTCGGACAGGCTGATAGGGGTTTCCCCCGATCCCAACCTTCACCTCGGATGCTCCAGAGCCTGCCACCAAACCGACTACCATCTTGCGCCAGCATGGTCAAGAAGCATCCACGCCGTCTCACCACGGCACCACGAAGTGAGGTCTGCACAACAAGGAATAGGAGCCGGGACTAGGGGCCGCAGCACCGTCGGCACGCGGGAGGGCACAACCTCCACCGTCAACGACGGTAGCCGACCGGACAAAATAGTAGGAGCACACCGGCCCGTGGGCCCACAGGCCCGGTCGGGATCTACATGCCCGTAAAGCTCCCGCCTTCGCGCTGCAGCAGGCACATCGTCGGCGTCGCCGCCCCCACCCCCCC